TAAAGACGTGTTACGGTAAATCACCTTTTTTGAACTTCTAATGATAATTTGATATTGTTTTACGGGACTTCGCACTTAAATTAGCTTCACAATAAAGTTTAGTATCGTTAGTATCGTGTCGACAATAACAATGCTGCAAATTTATCTGTTTGAAATGTCTCAGTACTTATTGTTTACAGCAGAGGGCGTAAGAGAGCAGAGAGTTTTAAATAGATAGTGTTTCCAAAGTGTTTTTTTTTTTTTGTAAGTTTGAATTTAAAACCAAGCTGAAAACATGTCAAAATTTAGTTCAAAAAGCTGGTTTATTCTAAAATGTCTCCCTTTAACAATATTATGCACATTGTCTTAAGAAATCACTCCGCAGGGATCGTTACGACTAAAATCCGTATACCTCATTTTACATGTTAATAGCAGTTTTGTCTTGTTATACACTTAAATATGCAAATCATAGGTAAGATTTTGTGTTTTTGTTTGACGCGCCGTGCCCCGAAATCAGCCTTTTACTTCCTGTCGTGCAATATACGTGACGTTAGTGGTGAGTTGTAGCAAACAAAACGAAGTTAGCGCAGTGCCTTCAGAAAAAATGCTTAAAAAGACTGAAAAAGGACCGCATTTCTCGTCCGAAACAAGATGTCAGCAGATATTTCAATACAAAATTCATATGCAAAGGATTTCGTGTCGTTTGGCGAAGGCTAGGTCAATTTCGGTGTCAATTTGGTTTGAATGTAGCATTAGCCGATTAGCTTCCCATGCTAATTTCGGTAGAATTAGCATGCTAACTTTGATTTTTTTCAGCAGTTTACGCTCCAAAAAGATCCCGTAAACGTGCTGAATCTGATTTTTACCGTCTTAAAAATGTGAAAAAAACAAAACTAGTTCATTTTTATTAACAGTTTGTTGTCGTCCAAAGTTATTCCTCGCTAAACTTATGCATTCAGAGCGTCGTATTTATTCGCCACGGTGAGTTTTCAAAGCGCTTTTTTCGCAACTTTCAGAGATAAGAGTTGAGTTTTGCCTTTACAGTAACAATGACTAGCATTCTAACCATACACTTCCTGATTCGCGGACAGTAAAACGCTTTATAATTAGACGTAGAGAGTACACAGCTGACTTATTTTGAAGATATTTGTTGATAATTTTACTCGAATACGTTGAAATTAAACACGTACCGACCCTTTCTGAAGTTTAAGTTTATAGTAAGTGTGGAAAAAAACTGCGCAGATTAATGAATATTGAAGGTTTTGTTCTCGATAAGTAGCATTTACTGATAAAAATGTGTAATGTTTGTGTATTCTTTAACGTTATCCTTGAGTATCTTGAAACACTAAGTGGCATTGGAGAAGTTAACTGAGAAAATGCCGGAATTTTGTGCGTGTTTAGTTTCGTTTTACGTCGTATTGAAGGTGAGCTGAGGAGGCTCTGTGGTGCTACACTCCCATCGCTGCAGCTATTTAAGATTCAAGTCCACGAAATCGTCCGAGGTCCGATGTTTTTTTAATAAAGGACGAAGGTAAAGTGTGAGTGAGTCGGATGTTTGCGCGTTTTGTGAAACAGAAGCCGTAACATTTTAAATTAAGTAAGACTGAAGGATTGTTACGTCATCGTGTTATTTTTACTAAATATTGGACACATTTTTAAATAAATCAATAATAATAATTCATTTCATTGTTTTCAGGTCTTACGCAATTTCCAATCCAATCAAAATCCAATGTTTATATAAAAAGTTATCGACCATGGTTCTATGAAATACTATTTTCACTCCACGGTGTATTTCAAATTTATCAATAAACGTTAGTCAAATTATTTAAAACAAGTAATTCATAGTGAGCCCAATAACAACCAAATTATGTATCACGCTAAACTTAATTAGCCTAGTTAGCGGCTAAGGCTAAGTAGCATTTTAGGTTTAAAATATGTCAAAAAATAAAAATAAAATAGCCCAGTAGATTGTAAAATTTGCCTATACAAACACAAATTCTACACTGATCAAAACAAAATGTCAAATTGAAAAACTAGTTTGGACTGTTTTGAATTTTATTTAAAAGGAAATGTCCATATTTGGGTCGCCATAGCAACCCTTACACAGTTCCGCGTGTTCCTGCTGCTAGTTTGTCGTAACTTATCAAGCGTTTTTTGTTTAGTTTAGGTTTTTTTTTCCTTTTTTTTTTTTCTTTTATTTGGAGAAATATTTATTTTTATAACAAGAAACCGAAAATAACAAGATCACCGTTTCGACACGAGACGGCGGTCGTAAAGAAGAATAAAGTGACTTGACCAAAAGACGGTAAACAACACTGGCTAACTGAATGTTGGATGTCATTGTATGCGTGCAAATTTCTATTTTTCTGGGGTAGTGTGAGCTTTTTATTGTCAAAAACACACAATGTGTATGAGTCTTTCTTTGGATATGTCACTGGAAACGGGGGAATGACAATTTTTATAACCAGAATAATCGTTTTTAACTATTTCGCAGTCGTATTTTGAGTACCGTAATATTAAGATACTAAACGTAAACAGGTTCACAATTTCTCAAGTTAAATTAACGTTATAATTATTGGATATGAAGTTACTTAAAGCCTCACTGCGTAACATTTCGGCCAGTAAACAGCATGGCGTTTGGTTTAGTCCATTTATTGGCAAGAAATGTTACACAGAACGTTAAATTTTAAAACAAACACTACTTATAAGCTTGTATTTACTTACATTGTACTAAAAAAAATTGTACTTAAAACCCCGAAAATGTGTCATATTCAAAGAAACCTGCTACAAAACTTCAAAATATTGGATTGAATTTCTGATCCATGACTCTTTCCTTAAAAAACGAAACCGGAAAAATCACTACATCTATTCGAAATTGGCCGGATACGAATTTAAAATCTTAACTATGCCAAGGTTTGGATTACCTAAAAACTGCTAAAAGCGTTCAAATAATAAAAGATTTTGTATAAAAAATAGTATACCCTACGGAAATTAGTCAACTGTTTTGTTTTGGGGTTTTTTTGTCTTTTGAGTTTTTCCACTATTTCCTTCCTGGTTGGAGTAACACCTTTTGTGATTGTCTGGCAAAGTCTTCATAAACACGGTATAACTGTGGATTTATTGCTATGCTGTTGTGATTTGAATATTTTCAGGCCGATTTTTAACACTGGTGTTCAAACTTAAGATGAATTTGGACCAATCGGAGCGAAGTTTTAGTACATGACCTGGTTGGATTCTGGGTCTCCGATTGGTCGAATTGGTCCCACGGTGACACGGGAGGTGACGCGAAGAAGCGGCCTGGTAGTTAGTATTTGCTTTATGTATTAGTTTAGCAGTTGTGCACGATTGAGGAGCACTGCACGAAGTTAAAAAATAAATGAAAACTGTGCATCTATTCTGATTTTACCACAAATAAAAGTTTGAATTTGCAAATGTAACGAGACTCGTGGTGTGTTTTGTGCAAATGTGTTTTTATTTTTCTATTATGTCATGTTTATGTCAAAATGGCTAAATATGTGGATTTTTGTCAATCCTTTTTTCAAATTATAATAGTCTTACAAGGTGATTTGTGTAACTTTTCTGGTGGAGGGTCCGTCCGTTTTTTTTTTTTTCATTTTTTATTTTTGTTTTGAGCAAGGTACATACGTAAGGATATGTTCATGTACATCAGTGGTGTCAAATTAAAATTCAGAGAGGCCAAAATTTAAACCTGGGACTAAGTCTTGGGTCAAACTAAATATTTATTGCAAAATTTCAACATCTTCATGCTTTTTCTTTTGAGATCTGTAATGTTAAACCTTTTCTTATTCAAATAAATGTTTAATAATAGTTTTGCTTAAACACTGAATCCAGAACAAACAAAATATAAAAATTTAAATGATGTCTCTAATAAAATAAAACAAAAAATAAAATGTCTATCTGTGGCCAGCGGGCAGCTCTAATACATGTTTGATATGATCTCTCGGGCCAAATATAATTATACTGCGGGCCAAATTTGGCCCCCAGGCCTGAGTTTGACATGCCTAAAGTTCATATTTGAGAGCATTTCTGGTGCTCAAAAAGAGCAGGTTGAAGTTAAGTAAAAAACCTTATGTCCTACCACACATGCTTGTCTGTATGGTGATGTTTTTGCTTTTTCTGGAATGTTCCACAGTAGCATCGTTGTGGCATTAAACCTTTCTATCTTCACGGAAACCAACCCAGACCAAATTACAGGTCAGATCTGTGGAGAGGCGACCCCCACTCACAGTCAGAATCAGTTTTCAGTCTGTTTTTCTAGGTATGCTTGAGCTATAAAACCACCTGTAATTGAATAAATGTAATGTAGAGCTGTTTAATGTCACACTGTGGAACATTCTATCTATACCGAGTAATGACATCTCCATAGAAACAAGCAGGTGACTGACAGACCCTCCACCAGAAAAGTTAGGAGATAAGCAAACTCAACTATTTGGAGCTTTCGATCTTTTCTGTCTGAAGAGGTTTTCGAGTCATCCGTGCATGTTTGACTAATCTAGCGATCTCTCCTGGGCCCTATTCAAACCCTCTTTACGGTTAGCAGTATGAGTCTGTACGAGGCTCCGCCCACAAGCCAATTCGTGTTCCACAATCCTCCATAAATATACAAAAGCATCATAAAAAACTGTACACTACAGCTTGACAAACCTGATGCGATGTGCGGTAGTTTCACTAGTGGGATTCACGCTGATTGTGTTGTGATAGCGCTCAGAAGGGGGAGTAACTTAGCACGGAGAGCAAAGGGAAAGGAGATTGTTAAACAGGTTAATATGTTGTTTTTAGCAACTAGAGCATTTCCAAACCAATAAAAACTAACATAATGATTTAAATATGTTATGTTTTAGCAGTTAATGGTCTTGTTTCCATGGAGATGTTCTTGTGTTGTCTAGAATGTTCCGTTATAAAACTCATCTGTCTTACATGAATTCTCTCTTTTTTTTAAATTATTAAATACCTTGAAACCGTAATTAGTTAAAAGTTTCACCCCAAAAACAAGACAATAATACAACAATTTCAAGTTTTTAATTTACTAAACAGTTCTAAGCATTTTCATTTATTCAAATTAAATTAAAAATATAAATTAAATATTACAGTCGTGTGAGAAATGATTAACGTCTTGATTTGGCTGTAACCGTTTGGCACCGACGCTCCACAAAAGTTTTACACTTAATAAAAGCTGCAAATCAGCCATAGATCCCGTCCGCACAAATATTATGAATAAAAATAAAAATACTCCACAAGTGAAGCAGGTGAAGCCGCCGCCCCCTGGAGGCCGACGCTCAAAGTGCAGCTCGAAACTCCTCCGGTTTGGGGAGGTTTTGTTTTGGGTCGTCACTTGGATCGGGCCAGAAGTTTGGGTTTTCCTCGTACCATTTTACTGAAAGCGAAACAAGAAATGATTTGACATTAACGAAGGAATAAGTTGAGTTAACAAGTTCAGTTCAGTCGGGAAATTTTAAACCAAAACCAAAATGAAAAAACAGATGATGATTCGTTTCAGTTTTTGATTTTGTGTTTAAATGAAAAATGGAAAAAAAAGGATAACGACCGTTTCCCATTTACGTGATTTAAACTGCGATGCCGGACTCATACGGACTGAACCATTTTCAGTTCTGGTCTGGTCCCGGTCTCAGTCCTGATCCTGTTGCCGGCCTCAGTCCCGGCCTCAGTCCCGGCCTCAGTCCCGGCCTCAGTTCCCGGCCTCAGTCCCGGCCTCAGTCCCGGCCTCAGTTCCGGCCTCAGTCCCGGTCTGGTCCCGGTCTCAGTTCAGGTCTCAGTGCCGGCCTCAGTCCCGGTCTCAGTCCTTGTCTCGGTCCCGGTCTCAGTCCCGGTCCCTGTCCCAGTCTTGGTCTGGTCCCGGTCTAAGTCCTGGTCTCACTTCCGGTCTGGCTTTGGTCTGGTTGAATCTGTTTCAGTCCTGGTTCAGTCCGTTATCAGTTTTTTTTCCATTTTTCATTTAAACACAAAATCGAAAACTGAAAAAAGCGAGTCATTATCTGTTTTGTTTTTTTTCATTTTGGTTTTAACTCGTCTTATTCCACCAGTTTACACCAAAATGGGACACCGGCAGAACACATGTTGAAAACCGATATCCGAGCCACCAAAATGTTCAGTATCGGTGCCGATATCTGATACAAATATCGTATCGGTGCATCCGTAGTTGTCACTCTTCAACCAATCAGCTTGGAGGATTCGTTTAAACGTCCTGAACCCAGAATCCCGGACTGATAAATGTGTAAAAGTCAAACTCAGAGCGACGCCTGGTTTGATTTTGATGAGTTTGTTTTGTTTTGTTTCTGTTGTGGTTTCACCTGTTTGTCTGAGGCCGTGAGTCCAGTCGACCTGAGCTCTCCAGCCGAGTCTGCGCAGCTTCTCACAGTGAATGGGGTAACGCAGGTCCACCTGAGGTCTGCACGTACACAAAGACAAAATATAAAACACACAAACACACAAACACACGAGAGCAACAAGACTCAAAAAATAGATGACTTTTTAAAATTTTATATTATATTTTATTATATCTGATATTATGTCCTGGGACCAGACCAGGACTGAGACTGAGATCAGACCAGGACCAGACCAGGACAGACCAAGACTGAGACCGGGACCAGATTGGGACAAGATCAGGACTGAGACCAATTTAGTCCTGGTTTAGTCCTGGTTCAGATCTGGTTCACTTCTGGTTTATTCCTGATTCAGTCCTGGTTTAGACCTGGTTTAGTCCTCGTTTAAACCTGGTTTAGACCTGGTTCAGTCTTGGTTTAGTCCTGGTTCAGTTCTGGTTTAGTCCTGGTTTAGACCTGGTTTAGTCCTCGTTTAAACCTGGTTTAGTCCTGGTTTAGACCTGGTTTAGTCCTCGTTTAAACCTGGTTTTAGTCCTGGTTCAGTTCTGGTTTAGTCCTGGTTTAGACCTGGTTTAGTCCTCGTTTAAACCTGGTTTAGTCCTGGTTCAGTCCTGGTTTAGTCCTGGTTCAGTTCTGGTTTAGTCCTGGTTTAGACCTGGTTTAGTCTCGTTTAAACCTGGTTTAGACCTGGTTTAGTCCTGGTTTAGTCCTGGTTTAGTCCTTTTAGACCTGTTTAGTCCTGGTATAGACCTGGTTTAGTCGAGGCAAAAACAAATGAATGAACGACACACAGATTCTGGATCCTCCACCAGAAAAGTTACACACTGCACCTTTAATATTTTAATGTTTAAAGTTGTAAATTAAAAAGTGTAAATACCTGTCGGGAACAAACTCCATCCAGTCGCTCACTGCAGAATCAGGAACCTTTTTTATCTGGACAAAAAAACACGCATCACTAAAACTTTAAATAAGCTTCAATCAAGTGTATTTTTATTATTCATTTATTTATTTATAATAAATTTATTTATGTATTTATAATTTATTTATTAAGAATTTATTTATTATAATTTATTTATAATCTATTTATTTATTTATTTTGAATTAATTTATTTAGAATGTATGTATTTATTTATTCATTTATTTTTATTTATTTTTGTATTATTTTTCTCTACCGTGAACCAGGGACTGTACCATTTGGATGAGCTCTGTGGCCAGGTGCATGATGGGAACCTCACAGCCGGACCCCATGTTGTAGATTTCTCCCACAATCCCTTTCTCCAGGACGAGCAGGAAGGCACTGATGGCGTCGTCCACGAACAGGAAGTGACGCGATTTAGGCAGAGTTCCCTGGATCGTGCTAAAAAAACAAACAAAACTACAGATTATTCATTGTTTTGATGAAATTTTGACTTTTTTGTTTTCGATTTCCTGTTTTAATGTAGTTTCCTCGTCACAAACAGACCTGGAGTTTTGTTTCATTTGCACAAGTTCCGAGTTATTTTCTCAAACTGAAAACTCTCCTCACACTTCCTCCTTGTGATGTCACGAGCTCCACTGTGTTTTTAAACTCCACACAGCTTCACTGGAATCATTTGGATCATTTCAGTCCTGGAGTTGCCAAATCTCGACTGAACTAAAGGTAAAAGGATCTTAAAAACTACCTCTTTATGACATCACAAGGTGGAACAGAGTGTTGTGAGCTTTGGAGATGTACAGAGACTAAAAATGAAGAGTTACTCAAACAAAACACAAGTCCAGGTCTGTTTTTGTTTTTGTTTTTGAGGAGGGAACAACATTAGAACACGACTTAAAGTTCACAAGAGTCAGTTTTGTGTGATGCAGGAGCTTTAATAGAATGTAAAATTTCTGGTTTCTTTGAAGGACTGAACCAGGACTGAACCAGGACTAAACCAGGACTAAAACAGGACTGAACCAGGACTGAACCAGGACTAAAACAGGACTGAACCAGGACTGAACCAGGACTAAAACCAGGACTAAAACAGGACTGAACCAGGACTGAACCAGGACTAAACAGGACTGAACCAGGACTGAAACCAGGACCTGAACCAGGACTGAACCAGGACTAAACCAGGACTGAAAAAACAGGACTGAACCAGGACTGAACCAGGACTAAAACAGGACTGAACCAGGACTGAACCAGGACTAAAACAGGACTGAACCAGGACTAAAACAGGACTGAACCAGGACTAAAACAGGACTGAACCAGGACTGAACCAGGACTGAACCAGGACTGAACCAGGACTGAACCAGGACTAAAACAGGACTGAACCAGGACTGAAACAGGACTAAAACAGGACTAAAACAGGACTGAACCAGGACTGAACCAGGACGCCCATGCAGACTGTCGAGTGACCAGGACCAGGACCAGGACCAGGACCACACCAGGACCAGACCAAGATGGAGACTGAGACCAGACAGTGACAAGATCAGGACTGAGACCGGTCGGTTTAGTCCTGGGTTTAGTTTAGTCCTGGTTTAGTCTTGGTTTAGTCTTGGTTTAGTCTTGGTTTAGACCTGGCAGTTTAAGTCACGTAAACGGGAAACATCAGTTGTTGTTTTTTTTACATAAAATCGAAAAGTGAGACTCGTAATCACCTTTGGAGACGTAAACAGACAAATAATAAAGAGTTCCTCAAACTTGTGTGAATGAAAAAAAAACACAACTCCAGCTCTGTTTTTGTTTTTGAGGAGGGAACAACATCAGAACACGACTTAAAACTCCAACTAGTCCAACTTACCATTTCTGATTTCTGTGCAAGAGACTGATAAATCTCGGAATGACCTGGAAAATGCAGAATTAACTATAAGAAAAAAAAAAACATTTAAACTTTTTGTTAAGTAAAAAAATTCCTACCTTTTCCGTGTACTGCCTTGGTCCATAAATATTGTTGCTTCTTGTAATTATCACTGGAAACTAAAAAGAAAAAACAACACATGTATTAAATAAAATACAAGAATAGAATAGACGACACAATCTGTTTAGAGAAATAATAAATAACAACTTTTTTTTTTAGCTTTCTACCATGTTATAAATGTTATTCCTTCATTGAAAACACATCAAGTTTTAATCATATTTACATCAATAAATTATCTTTAATGAATCTGCTCCTGGTAAGTAGAAATGGCAGATATATCGAAAAATAGATAATATCACTACTGTTGTTTTGGTCTCAAACTTTGTAAAAAAGCTGCACATATTCCCACTTTTTTGTTTATTTCCAGTGTTTTATGTGACTCTAAACACGATCAAAGGTAGAATTTTTCATGGATTGCTGCAGAATTGTTTAAAGATAAATCCAAAATGAAAAAGTACAGATTCTTGTACCTCGTATTTCTCGCCGTACGACTGGACCAGAATCTCTGCAGCTGCTTTGGTGGCGGAGTAAGGATTGGACGGTCTCATTGGACTGAGCTCATCAAACTCCTGAAAACAAAACACAGATTATCGCGAATTTAAACACGATCTGGAAAAACTCTCATCGGTTAATTATGCTTTTGTATCTTTTATTGCAAAAACGTTTAGAGCAAATTGCGGCTGAAGGTTAAAATCCGTCGTCTGGAATTGAAAATATCGTTCAAAAACATTAAAATAAAACTTATAATGCCAGTTTGTTGCTTTTTGTTTGTTTGTTTTTTTCATGTCAGTTGTTTTTATTACACTGAAAAACATGCGTCTTTACTGAGAGGGGCTCGCATCTCCACAAACCTGACTCTTACTTGGTCTAAAGAGGCTCCTCCTGCTTGTTTCCATGAAATATTGTTCCTTTGGCTCTAATATTCCACAGTATGACGTAAAAAATATCTATCTCCATGGAAACCAAATCTGGTTTTAACTTTGCTTTTCCATGGAATCGATCAGGTGACAGAAAAGTTACACACTGTTACTTTAGGTGTTGTTTTGAATTTAGTTTGACACAATAAGGTTGAAAGATATGGGGAAAAAAATCATATCGATCAATCCCGATTAGCGCTTTCATTTGATTTAGTTGTATCAACACTAGGGCTGGTATCATTAAGAAGTTGCCGATACGATACATACCTCGATACCTAGGCCACGATACGATACATATCTCGAAACAGTGCACTTTCAATTCGATACGATATATTTCAAACCGATTCGATACGGTTCAATAAAAACAATGGCTAAATCAGTGGCTGTGACACTAAAAGTCTTTGTTAAACCACTTCTTGTGCAAAGTGAATATGAAACAAAAAAATTTTAATCCTCAAAACTGTGAAAATGTCAAATGTGTCGCATGCAGTGCAAAAAATTTAATCTAGCCAAGTTAAGATGACTTGAATTAAGAAAATTTTACCATAATTTGAGTAAATTCCACTTGACAAGTTAAATTATCTATCAGCGGAATATGTTTTTTTGTACTTAAAATATGAAAATACAACTTGCTACACTTAAAAAAAGAAAAACAACAATCTTTAAAATAAGAAATTAAATCAAATGTCGCTTGAATTTAGAAAAACACTTATTCCATTGGTAGAGTCGACTCAGATAAAGTCAAATGTTCTTCATTTTCATTTTAATGAACCTTTTTGCCGTGTGAACGAGTTTCCTTCCACTAAACAAGCAACAAAACTGGTAGCTGTAACAAAATAATTTAGTAAAATACACCAAAAATACTCGATACGCGATATATCGATACAGCAGCCCACGATATCGATACTGTATCACTACATTAAACAATACGATATATCGATATTTCAATATTTTTGCACAGCCCTAATCAACACAATTAAATACTACTTTATATTACTTAAATAAGCAAAACAAGGCTTTAATACTTTAACAAGGCTTTAACACTGAAAATAGACACATTTCTTCCTCTTACATCTGCTCCAAAGTTCATTCTTTTACTGAGTTCTTCATTAAAAACACACAACAAGATCATTGACAATTACAAATAACTCAGTCTTAATTCAAATTCGACTCATTCTAAAGCCACAACACACAAGTACCTGGTCGATCCCCGGCCCGTAGACCTCGTCCGTACTGACATAAATAAACCGCTGTAGTTTGTGTGGAGCTTGTTGAGCGGCTCTCAGTAAAACTCTGGTCCCCTCGACGTTCACGCGCTGGAAATCTGACGGACATTTGAAAGACGACTCTGAAATCAAACAGGAATTACATTTAATAATTACATTTTTGCACCACCTCTTGTACATAACTGTGATATACTGTTTTGACATGATTATATTTCTGAATTTTACTTACTTGTACATAAACATTTATATAATTATGCCGCATTTTACATGTTTTACTCTTTGTTATCGTGATATATTGTGATGTGTGAGCCCCTGTGTCCAAGTCATTTCCCTTGTGGATCAATAAAGTTTGTCTAAGTCTAATATTTGGAAATAAAGAAGTAGTATAAACTAGTTAGAATAACAATAATGACAGAATTGCTGGGGGCAGATTAAATAAATAGTGTTAAAGAGCAATTTTTTTGTTGTAAAACAGTGAGTTCTTGGGTCTGATCCAGGGGTGGGCAAACTTTTTGACTCGTGGGCCACAAAGGGTTCTTCTAAAATTTGACAGAGGGGTTAGACCAAGAGCAGATGGATGGAGTTTTTTTGGTAATCCACTTCATAAGAGGAAAAAAACACATCACATATGACTGAAATATCCCATAGTTGAAAATCATTACAACAAAATATCTGTCTTTCAAGTCCCACGGTATTTACTGTTTACTGAAATGACTTTTAAAACACTGAAAATTATTATTATTATTCAAGTTCGGCAGAAATGATCAGGTTCATCATTTGTGAATTTTAGGGCTGTAAACCTTTAGTCGTTTAGTCGATTAATCGGTCAGTGTAGTTAGTTGAAAGTTGTATTTGTTGATTCAAAGGGATGGGACAAGATCTCGTGAGACAAAATGATCTCGTGAGATTTTTTTCCCCTCGTATTTTTACATTTGCCTTGGATAAAAATGGGTTTAACTTTGTTTCGAGTGACCCTCTTAGAAGCGAAAATTCCCAAAAGTTGTACTACAGTGACAGCGGTCCTGTGAAGTAAAATCAAATAAGTAAAATGTGAACTGAATGGCACAGTTTACTCCTAAAAAATAATATCAAAACCTTGTCTTGTCTCGTTCTGATGGACCAAATCTTGTTAATAATTTTAGGATTTACATGTGACAACAAGAGAAAGGAGAAGTGAGTGATTGAGCTGATGATGTAGAAAAGTCTGATTAAACTCCAGACTCCACACGCTGAATCTGTTTTTATATAAATACACTGTTTCCTCGTCCTTTTTTTCTGCATAAATAGTAGTTTTCGCATGAGCTCCCCCTGCAGGTGTAGTTCTGTGAGCGCAGTTTGGGTCAGACACGCAGAGAAACTTAGACTGAAACGACCTTTATTGATCCGCAAGGGAAATGATTTGGACAGAGACACGTGACACTGTAGTTTGAGGCTTTTACCACGGAGACATTTTAGTCCAGAATCGATCAGTTGGAAGGACGTGTCTTTAGTCCAACGTGAATTTCTTCAGTCGACTACAGACCTTTTACAGATTTCATGGTAAAGTAAAGAGTAATCAGCCCTCATCTGGGAGTATGAAACCACAAATAAAAAAATAGTAAATAAAATAAAACTTACCGACGTGTGTCTTAGCTGCCAGGTGAAAAATGACGTCAATGTTTTGGGTGTTGAAAATGTGATGAACCAGTCGAAAGCTGCAAACATCCCCCTGATTTAAAGACAAAAAAAAAGATATTTATTATTATTTTATCATAGCTGCAACAATCCATGGTAGGAGTAATAGTTTGAACACATATTATAAGATAAACAATGGAATGTAACTGGCTGTTTCAAGGATGGAACCAACATGTTATGAACTAAAATATAATCTACAAACAGTGTTGGAACGTAACGAAGCAAAAGTAGTAAAGTACTGTAATAAATTTGAGGTATCGCTACATTTAAGAGTGAATATCTGTACTTTATATGACATTTTTGAACTGTACTGCAAAGTAAAAGAATTTTTATTATAGTTTGAGACCTGCTGAAAAGCCTGAGTGTTTATTTTGGCACCTTTGTACTTTAAGCAAACAAAAAATATACAAATAAAAACAGATCATTTGTTTCTACTGAACAAAATTCAACACAAATCTGTATCAAAATCACTACATTTGAAGCTTTTAGATCTCAAACTCTGCTCAAAATACTTACTTTTAACTCTTTAAGTACATTTTGAGTATTTATTCATGTCATAATTTACTTCTACTTGAGTATTTTTTGCTTCAGTATCTGTACTTTTACCTTAACTTGTACATTTTAAGTAACTATTTTGAGTACTTCCATCACTGCTACAAAGGATTCACATTCAGTAAATCTGGAGTGATTTCAAGTCATATTTTTACTTGAATGAATGAGTAGTTTGGTCTGTCCTCCACATTTTCCAGGCTCCTCGGGCTGCAGCAGGAATCCAGCTACGAAACACACAAAGAGACCATTCAAAACTCCACCAAAAACTCCAAATTCATTCACCACCGGCACTGCTTTTTACCTCAAATTAATTATTTATCTTAATATTTTAGACTTACTATGTCCAGGTTTATAATCCTCCAGTCTGGATGTCTGTTGACGAGGTGTGTGACAAGATGGGAGCCTCTAAAAACAAAAAAAAATTGGTTATAAAACTATTAATTTGCATATTGGGTTGAAAAAAGTCAAGGGAATTTATCACAAACACCAACTAATTTACAATATTTAAACAGGGATTGCGTAAGAAATGACAAATCAGTGACAAATCACATTTTATTTTGACATATAATGCAGAAAAAATATTATGAAATTATTTTATAACGCAATACTTACATGAATCCTGAGCCTCCAGTCACCAAAACAGTTCTCTTGTAGCCCATTTTCTCTCATTACAACCAAATTTTAAGCGGATAAAATTAGTAGGACATTAACAGCAACATGTTATATTTTTTTGAAATGTTTTAAATGTGTAATTTGTTGTCAAAAGCCAAAAATCTGTAGCTTTTTGGGGAGATCGATGCTTTCTCCTGCCTACATCCCGACAGTAGAGGTCCTTTTCCGGCAGCGTTGACACGTTGGTGATGGGCGGGTCTTAGTTAGATTTCTGCGTTCTGATTGGCTAAAAATTGCAGCGTCACAAAATCTAAGCGTTCTGATTGGAGGATTTTGATGTCACCCAAACTGTCAATCGTGCCGACTTGGCGTCACCGCGACGTAAAGGCGTCTAAAAGAAAACGACCAACTTCCTGTTAGTGTTCACAAATAAAAGTTTTTGAAACAATATCTGATTAATTTAAGCCGTATTTATTCACAGCTTCATGTATTTTATTGTTTATAAGATTATTATACGGATATATTTACTCTAGATGCTTTATTTTACGAGAATAAAGTCGTAACATTTTGACATTAAAGTTGTAATATTATGAGAATAAAGTCGAAGCCAGAAAAAGTCGTAATTTTACGAAGAATACAGTCATAATTTTACAGGAATAAAGTCATAATTTTACTAGAATAAAGTCGAAGTTAATATAAAGTCGTAACATTATGAGAATAAAGTTATAATTTTACGAGAATGAAGTCGTAATAAAATCAAAGTCAAAGTGAAAAATGTGGCAGAAGAAGAACCTGGTTTTTCAAGATAAAAATAAGAAAACGAACAACAATTTTCTTCATTATTTGCACCTCTGGACTGAACCAGGACTAAACCAGGACTAAACCAGGTCCAAGACCAGACCGGGACTGAGACCAGGACTTAGACAAGGACTGAGTCAGGGACCAAGACTGAGACCGGGATCAGACAAGAACTGAGACCGGGATTGAGACCGGGAACAGGACCAGGACTGAGACTGGGACCAGACCAGGACTGAAAACGGTTTAGTCCTGGTTCAGTCCTGGTTTAGTCCTGGTTCAGTCCTGGTTCAGTCCGTATGCGGCGCAATATTCCGCATCACATTTAAAAGTCACGTAAACGCCATTTCCCATTTCCGTGACTTAAACCAGGACTAAACTAGGACTAAACCGTTTTCAATCCTGGTCTGGTCCCGGTCTCAAACCTGGTCTTTCTGGTTTGGTTCCAGACCTGGTTTAGTCCTGGTTTAGTCCTGATTCAGTCGAATGTACGAATGATACACAGATTCTTCTCCTTTACAAAATGCTCCAAATTCTCCACTCGTTCAGACTTTACGAGCAGCCGATGTTCTCATAATATTACAACTTTATTTTGACTACGACTTTATTCTCATAAAATTACTACTTTATTCTTTTAAGTTTACGACTTTATTCTCATAAAAAAAAATAAAAGACTATTCTAGTAAAATTTCGACTTTTTCTGGCTTTGACTTTATTCTCATAATATTACGAGTTTAATGTCGAAATGTTACGACTTTATTCTCGTAGCGCCAGCCTTTTTTAAATTTTTTTTTTATTTTTTTTTTTTTTTAATCTGACCCTTATACACCGTCGTATTATTTTGTGTCGTATAAACAGAAAAAATACAAATTGTGCTTTTAATTTGTTCTACTTCCGCTAAAACGATGCTAACGCTAAATAGCTTCACGCTCCCGGTTTTACTTCTGGCTTCGTGGCTCATTGAATTGGGACACGATTATTGGAAATTTGCGGCTATTTCGCGAACGCATTTAAGGGTTAAAATGTGGCGTTTGTTAGCCCTGTTTTTGTGCGTTTTGCGGCTTTTTCCGGCGACCCGGGCCAAGACTGTGACGGGAGTTTTTAAGAGCGAAGTGGCCAGGGAGAGAAATGGCCAGTACATCACTAAATTCATGTTTGGAGGTAAGTGAAGGCGTGGAGATGTGCAAACGTGTCCTGTCTGCAGCATCTACACAAACACGAGCACTATTACCAATTAACCGAATAATATGTCTTAATAAAATCTGAATATTGCCCCAATCTGCACCAATGCGTGTAAGTAACGTGTTATCAACAGATTTGTACACGATCATGACTATATTTTGCATTATACATATGTTTTTAATAAATGATTTTCAGTGTTGGGAAGGTGACTTTTAAAATGGTTTCCCCTACAGATGACAGATTACACACCCCAAAATGTAGTTTGTAACGTAATCCATTAAATTACTTAAACTGAGTAATGTAATCTGATTACTTTGGATTACTTGGTTTGCTGCAGAGAAGAAAAGACCAGGATATCGTAACATAAGAAGTTTTGTTTGATAAAAGAAAATTAAAAAGTCCAGACTTTACTGAACCAAATTAAAAATATTATTGATAGAAAAGGAGGAGACGCGGTCCATGCAGCATGATTTAGTCCTGGTTTAGTCTTGGTTTAGTCCTGGTTTAGACCTGGTTTAGATCTAGTTTAGACCTGGTTTTAGACCTGGTTTTAGTCCTGGTTTAGACCTGGTTTAGTCCTGGTTTAGACCTAGTTTAGGCCTGGTTTAGACCTGGTTTAGATCTAGTTAAAACCTGGTTTAGACCTGGTTTTAGACCTGGTTTAGATCTGGTTTAGACCTAGTTTAGACCTGGTTTAGACCTGGTTTAGATCTAGTTAAAACCTGGTTTAGACCTGGTTTTAGTCCTGGTTTAGTCCTGGTTTAGACCTGGTTTAGACCTAGTTTAGGCCTGGTTTAGACCTGGTTTAGATCTAGTTTAGACCTGGTTTTAGACCTGGTTTTAGTCCTGGTTTAGTCCTGGTTTAGTCCTGGTTTAGATCTGGTTTAGACCTGGTTTAGACCTGGTTTAGACCTGGTTTAGATCTAGTTTAGACCTGGTTTTAATCCTGGTTTAGACCTGGGGATATAGCCCTCTGTGTAATCCATATTTCAACAAAGTAACTGTAATCCAATTGCCACTCACTGAAACAGTAACTGTAACTGAATACAGTTACTCATCATTTGTACTCTGATTACTCCAGTACATGTAATCTGTTACTCCCCGAACACTGATGATAAGTTATTATATTTGATCAGGTCAGTTTTAATATGTTTTTTGTGTGATCTTAGTCATTATTACGGCAAAAAAACACAGCATATTGTAGATAAATGCTTTAGTACATTCAAGAAACGCGTCATTATATGGAGGATTTTAGTTTATTTTTCAAAGCAGTATGTTTAAAAGTTATTTATACATATTTCAATAATTGCAGTTCCATAAATACACTTACAGTTCAACTCAGACTCTACCTGTTCTTGTACCTGTTTAGGTTAAGGCTGAATCACACTTCCTCTTCTAGTTTATTGTGATGTTTAGGGCCTGTGTTCTTCTGTTTCATATCGTATTATAAATCACATCCATCCTTCTACCCGTTGGAGTCTAGTTACACATTAACAGGGGAAAAGTGGATAGATTTTTTTTAAAAAGCGAGTAATTTGAGGAGCAGCTGTGGTTTAATATACATATGATACAAAATAG